ATTTTGTTTAAACACAGTCAGGTGGTACTTCCTAAGGTGTTACAAAAGTAGTATTAAAAGGTGTACAGGGAATGGAATACCTAAGGGATTGATCAGATTTGTGGCTTCAAGTTTAGGAAACTTTCTCATAATAACATTGAAGAAGCTGTTAAACCTATTGCATTTGCCAAAAATACAGGTCGAAGCAAGTGAAAAAATCCTTATTGTTAGAAGGAAAGTGGGAGCACAATAAGTATTAAATTGATTTACTTTGGATGAAAAAGGTATGCACTGCCTTAACCTTATTATCCTTGCTTACCAGTGATGGCTGTACCAAAAGATAAAACTTTTGAACAGGAGATTGTGCATGTACTATGTCTAGAAGAAGCAGGATTGATATATCTGATGTGGACCACAAATTAGTGGGCAAAAGTCCAAAAAATTTACAGTGAAGTACCAGTTTAGAAATTTAGCTATCCAGCTGTTGGAGAACCAGCAGCAGAGTAACAGAGATTACTGGAAAAGTCGGTGGAATCATTCACCTCATAATCATATTTAGTACTTTTAAACTGGAGAATGGTTTGAAAAAGGCATGGGTAGTTATTGACTGGTGTTCTATTGAACAGAAAAATGAAAACAGTAATACCTGCTCTGTTGGAATCTGATGACAATCACTGGCACCTTGCAGATAATGTAAATTGGTAAGGCAGAACAAAAAAGTTGGTGTGATTTAGGAGCTAGGAAATCCTGCTGCTTCGTGATGACGACACTGTAATTTAGAGTAAGAAACAGCAGGAGTTTTACAGGGAGTAAAGTGGCCTTGTAGTTGCAGGAGATTGCTGCCTTACATCCTTACGTGCAGACAACTCTTGAAGAAATAGGGAATGTGTTTTTTCAGATACAGAAAAGGGGTAGAGTTGCTGAGCTGGGCATTTTCCTTGAGAAAGTTTCAAAGAGGCACTAGCCAAAGCAGGGTGACATGGCTGAGCCTTAGGACATGATTCAGGTGTTTGACGGCAGGTATCTCAAAGAAGACCTGCAGATTCCTGTTTGGAGAACAGAGTATCAACTGAACATTTATTATTAGCTTTAAGGTAGTAGCTTAATTTGTTATTATAATTTTTATGCTTACATGAGAAACGGAGATCTGCCAAGAACTGGTTTGAACTGGTTTTGTTATGAAACTATATGGAATACTGATGAGTTAGGTTTGCATGAATCAAGTTTTCCTCAGAATCGTGGGCTTTGGGAGATTACTGAAGAACAGACAGCCCTGAGACTCTTGGAGCAAAACTAAACAATACTACAACTATTGTTTGATTTCTCACTGGGAATTACTAGTCATAAAGTTGGCCAGATGAGTGACCAGAGACATATTTTGTGTTTTGTGAGTGTTTGTTTTTCCAGTGTAGCAAATAATTAGACAAATAGTCTGAGTTCTCTGCTTATCTTACTTGTGCGGCATTCAATTTCCTTATCTTTTGCAAGCCATGGTAGCAAAGATTATGGCTGGCATAAACAACATATTACATGAGTAGATGATTTGAAGGTTACAAGACTATTAAAAGTGAAAGAAGACAGATGGAGAGGATAGATAGTAGGAAAAAGGAAAGGAATCGTGAAGTTTCTTGCTAGCAGTGGTAGGGATGAATCAGAAAAAAGGCAATTTTTGTATCAATTGACAAAAGTAGTCTAAAAGTAATTTTTTTGTCATTCCTATTCTTTGATGTACCTTGGTTTAGCTAGCAATTTTTCTTTTTCTGGATAAGGCAAAAAGTGTCATCCATGTAAGATTTATGTTTCTGGTCCTATTATGTGCTGGCATTGTGTTGCCTGACCCAGAACAAAGAAAACTATCAGCTGGAGTGGGTGTCCTAAACTAACACTGCATTATTACCTATGTTGTAAAAAGAAATTACTACAGTAAAAGAAGTATAAAAATTAGCAAAGTAAAATATGATTTGCCATGGGAAGCAAAAAAAAAATCTGTGGTGGTATATTTTAGGGTGAGAAGAAAATAGATTGAAAATTCCAGTGAAAGAAAAAAAAAAGAAGAAGAAATCATGAGTTCCCCTTATAAGCGCTCCTCTTTAAAGCAGAACAGGAGACTGTTCAATGTTAGCTGACATGTCAGTTGATGGCATACTGTCAATCAAGCCTGCAGGTGATCTTGCTATGAATGTATGAATATCTAATTAAAAGCTGATATAATTGTTGTTCTGATAGTTTCATCTCAAAATTTAGAACTTGTATGTTTCATTACTATTTTCTTAGCAGACTTTGACATATTTGAATACGTTTGTTTGAAGTAATGACGTTAACAAGTATACGTGGACAGAAATGGTATTAAAACCTGTGAGGAGTGGAAAGGAAGCTTAGTTTTGAAGAAGAGATTATGTACTTGACCAGTCATGCTACACTTTTCTAACTCCCTGTCTACTTGGGTCTTAATCCTAGAGACTTGTGACCTACTTGTGTATATATTTTAGCATTAAAATGTTTTAGGAAAAAAAGTTATTGATGTAATATGTATTATTTCTCATGAGAGGCTTCCTAGTTCCACGTGAAAGCTATTGGATTGTGAGGCTTGAAACTAAGCCTGTAGGGGCAGCTTGAACACTAGCAGTAAGCCAGTGTGTTCACTGTGCTTCATATTCCCCATCTGCAAAATAGTATTGACATTATGTGTAAAACACTTTATGATCTGCAGGTAAAAAGTGCTCTCTGAGAGTGAGATAACATTAATGGTCTCAGTAGTGTCTGTTCTGTGTTATGTTTGTATTGTATTTGACATAGCGTTGCAACATTCTGCTTAACGCTGTTCTGCCAGCCCATTTTCTGTCAGTGTGACATTTCCCTCTAAAATTTCTTCAGGATGTGAAAATCCCCTATATTGCTCTTAAAACTGGGTTGTACCAATTGCACCCTGCAAAACAGTCTTCACGCATGCATGGTGAATCATTGGTAAAATACGTGCATCAGCAGTCATTAACCCCACCTTTCTTCTCATTCCTATAAACTCTACTAGAATCTCTTTTCATAATCCTATGTATTTTGATAAAGTTTTCATGAAAGAGGAACCATCCTTTCCTCCCCATCCCCTCCCAGCGCACATACGTTTTAGGGTAAATAATATGTCCAGTATATCTTGGCTAGCATTATAAGGAGGAAGCAGAACCTCCTAAGAGGTAAAAAAGCCAGCTCTTCCTTTTTCTTGTGAACTCACTGCCATGCTCTGTTTATTTTTCTGGGAGAAAACCCAATTATGTTATGTATATGAGAGTTGGTTACAGGTTCAGTTTTCGGAGATTAATTCCAAAGATATTAAAGCTAATTAAAGATTTAAACAGATTAGTGGTCTTTTACAGTTAGCTGTGCTTTGTGTTTTACTGGGTATAAGATAACTGGTTGACGTTCCCGCCACTGCAGTTATCTTTTGAGCTTTGCTGGAAATCTATACCCTACTCTAATCACTCTAATATATGGCAGGGGGAGCCAGATTATTTTATTTTTCTGTTTGTGTGCATTAGCAATAAGCCTGTTTAAAGGGCAGTTTCCCTCCCTGTTTTACTGAAAGATCAGCTGGCCTGCATTAGTTAAGCCACAGTAACTTGATTGTGCCGTGGACAGTGCTGGATCCAATAGCACAGATAGCACTTTTAACAAGAGGGCAAAAATAGCTTCAGAATATTTTTCATCTCTGGCCATCAGTATCTCCGAGTTCTTTCCCTCTGTGTAGTTTGGAGTTGGCTTTAGGGAAGGAATAATTTGAATGGAGGAGCTGTTTGGAGGGGAGTAAACAAGATGCTCAGATCTTAGCCATTGCATAATAGGTTTTGCCCTAACAATTTGTCTCCTGTTTTCCAAAGTGTTTTGATGATTTTTAAACTCAAGTTATGAAAGACACTGATCAGGATATTTTTAGCCTGAAGCATTCTCAAAATAATGTGTTGTGCTCCCAGAATATTGGCTTTAAATATTACAGGTTTTTAAAAACTCAGTTCAGTGAAGTGATGCTTTCAAAATTTTCTTTCTTTAGCTGGAGAAACCTACTGACAGTGTTTGTTTAAGATAATTTTTATTTGAAAACTTAGCTTTTTTAACCTATAGTGTGGTGTTACGCAAGTACTAGGAATTAAGATAAAACTGCAAAATGCAACAAAAGAAGTAAAACAAGAATTAGGACATCTGTGTACCAGCAATAGTAAGCTAGGAGTTAATGAAAGACCTTGTTACCTTGCTGGCTGTGGCTAAGATGCTAGTAAGAAATTGGCCAGCCTGAAGTATTGCAGCTGAAATTGGAAAGGGGCAGTAGAGGTAGAGGTTGCCTAGGAGAGGGTTAGAGAAACAGCAAAAAGAGCAATACTGCAAGGAAGACTGCTATGTTGAAAGTGAGAAGGCGGCTGAGGCTGATAAGGAAGAAATGCTTTCTTCTTATTATATGCTTTGTAGTTGAAATTCTGAAAGGCAAGTGAGCTAGCATGCATTACCTTACTGCAAGAAGAAATGTAAAAATGTCAAGATTTATTGGAAGGCTCAAAGCTAGATCTACTGCTCTGAGTTTGGATGAGCCTCCAGGTTGTACAGAGAGAAGAGATTAATGATAATGCACTATGTGCATTAATGATAATGTCATCACCTGTGATGACAACAGGGAGGTGTCACAGGTGTTGGTGAAGCCCTGCATCTTCAGAAGAAATTCAGAAGCCTTCTTTGGTCTTATGTGTTCAGTTGAGAGCAGTATGAGGCTGGAGGGCTCATGCAGAAGAAGGAGAGGAGAAAGACTAGAGTAACTCTTTTCTAATTTATGTAAAAATTATTGTGGTAATCTTGCTCTTCTTCATCCTGTCTTAAATGACTTAGGTTGTACTTTGATTAGTTCATGTCATACAGGTTTGAAACCTACATAGCTGAGGTTAAAAAAAAGTCTCAGTAAAACAGTAGGTTTGATTTTTGACAGAAAACTTAATTCAGTTTTTCTTATTGTAACTCCAGCTTCAATCTCTTTTCCTTCCATCTAGGCCATGTGTTTATACGATGGGATCGCCAATAAACAACAGAGCCCTTTTCCCATGCCAAGAACCACCCGTTGCCTTGTCAACATGGCAAGCCTCCGTCCGAACAGCTGCAGGCTTTGTTGTATTAACGAGTGGCGAAAACTCAGCAGAACCGGTCCAACTTCAAGAAGGTGAAATATATTTTCTATAGCAAATTATTTTCAATGATTTTATAGTTAGAAATATAGCTTAGTAAATACATGATTTTTGAAAGAATGAAGTTCCCAACCTTAAAAGCACTTAGATGTCTATCTGTAATCTCCATGTCATTCTGTGGAAAAGTTACCTGCTAAAGGCCTCAGGATAAGTTAGTAAGAATTCAAGGCATCTACGTTTCATTGTGTTACTTCTACTTACTTTTTGCTATGTTTTTATTTCTTTTAATTTTTCTAAGCCTAGACATCACTTGTCATAAATTTGCTTTGTTATAATCACTCTGCAGCTGAACATTTTGTAGATGAAGTACCTTATCAGGCTCTTGACAACTTCAGGCCTTGGAGGATAATTAACTTTCAGTTTCAGTTCTCCAGTCCAAATGTAACTCAGCATGCCAATGAGTAGAAGCAGTCATTGTGTCATATCTGTTTCCAGAAATACATGGAATAGGTGAAGAATATCAGGTCAGTGCCCTGAAAATCTGGTATTTGGGTTTTTTTGGCATTGGTAGATCATACCTTGTGCAGCAGTAAGCAAGAAAGCATTTTTCTTGTGTGTGGTTATACTTTATTCTCTAAACCTCTTTCTGCACAGAGAAGTTTTTAAGACAATTCTACACATAATACAAAGTATGTCTTGCTCCCGTTAGTTTTGAGATAATCTGTCAAACAGGGTCAGTATTTTCTACTGTAAGCAGTTCTGATGAAAAGTATCATCTAGGAAAAGGTTAGAATTAGGTGTTTCTGGAAGAAAAATAATCTTCTGTTCCCCTTTAAAGATGCAAGTGTATTCTTGAGGGAAGAAAAAGAACGAAAGTTTCCTTGATTTGAGAACCATCAGTTAATCCATTTGCATGGAATTGTCTGGTTATTTTTGGCCATATGTGAAGCCTGTTTCAAGCCTGTTTCAAGCCTTGTCTCTGCTGTTGAAATATGGAAAACTTCCATGATGAGCTGCTCAGCTCACTTGGACGATAATACTTTCCTGTCTTGGCATCAAGAAAGCAAGAGTGCTCTTGACTTCAGACAAGGAGAACAGCTCTGCCATCATTGTTTAATTAGTTTAATCCACACATATACCTTGCTAATAAGTTGTTGCCTGTCTGTTTCTCAGTGGTGGCTATGAGGTCTGAAATCTTAAGAGGAAGAAGGATGCTTATGTGAATTTCTAGAAATAGAAACCATGGAAAAAAATTGAGGCAGTATCAATTGACATAGGTCAATTAAAATTGATATTCTCTTAGACCAATTAACTAGTTGAAAAGGCTATATTGTGAAAGAATTTTTTCCTCATTAACATTGTTTTGTGATTCTATTTTAAAAAACCCAGTAAAAGTGTATACTTGAATAAATTAAAAAAAAAAACTAGTTGTGGGGAAAACCATTTTTAAAATGCTGTTGATGGTGTGTTGAGAATGATATCAGGGTACCATATTGCTAATGACAGCACTGAGGCTTAGTCATCCAAAGTCAGCGTTGTTACCCTGTGCAGAACAGAAGGGGCTTTTGTTTAAGTCCTTGTAGTTGTTGCAGTGGGTCAGTTTATGCTGGTAATTCATGTGTCAGCTTAAAGCTTTGTTTGTTTTGGGTTTGTTTTCTTTAAAAAATTTTTTCCAAAGGCTAACCCAGTGTATTTCCCTTCCTAAGAACTAAGAAAGCAAGAAATACTGTAAGAAGTCTTTAATGGCAAGGCCATTAGGGAGGAAATGACTCATTTTAGCTTCACTGTGCTAATGAACTGGTGAGTGAAAAGTGTGAAGTGAACTGGGAAGAACCAAATGTAGCATTAAAGCTGGCTCCTTTAGGAGCCATGTAATGATGGCAAAGTTTTGTGCTGAACTTCACCGAACTGAAGAGAAGCAGCAGGAGCACCTACTGCACTTCTGCCCTTACAGTTTTCCTTCCACCTCTCCTCAAGACGTAATTCCCAACAGTGTGGAAGGTTCTGCTTATGGATCTATGCGTCACACACAATTATTCATGCTAATTTCGACATCATAATGCAAGGCTTGCTGGATTTCTTTAAACACAGCAGGCATTGTGCTCCAGCAGCTCTCAAAGACTCAATCATGGGTGAGCCCCTCATTATCTTGGTGCTTATATACAGTTGGAAATGGTAAATCAGTGTCAGAGAGCTGTTTGGAATTGTAAAAATTTACAAAACAGGTATAAAGGAAAGAAAAGGAGCAACATTGTGAAGAGTATTTTAAAAAAAAGAAACAAACCTAAGGCTCAAGTGCTAATCTGAAAGCTTGAATAATTTCTTAATGAATTTAGGAATACAAATTCATTATTAATAAGCAGGACTTTTAAGAATTAAAAAGTTCACAATGGTCTGTTGTGTTAAACGACATGTTCCCCATAGATCTTCTTGTTAGGCAATTATGCAGAGCATATGAAATCTATCCAATTTAAAATTTTGTGGAGGTGGAAACACCTTCAGAGGGTGGAAGAAAAGGCAAGTAGCCTGGGAAGAATACAGAGAAACTGTCTGAGCAGCCAGGGATCAGGTTAGGAAAGCACAAACCCTGACAGAATTCAATCTGGCCAGGGATGTCAAGGACAACGAGAAAAGCTTCTATAGGTCTGTCAGTGATAAAAGGAAGACAAGGGAACATGTGGGCCCTCTCTGGAAGTAAAGAGGAGACCTGGTTACTGGAGATATGAACAAGGCTGAGGTACTCAGCAACTTTTTTGTCTCAGCCTTCACCAGCAAGGGCTCTAGCCACACTGCCCAGGTCACAGAAGGCAAAGGCAGGGACTGGGAGAATGAAGAGCTGCCCACTGTGGGAGAAGATCAGGTTTGAGACCATCTAAGGAACCTAAAGGTGCACAAGTCTATGGTACCTGATGAGATGCCTCTGTGGGTCCTGAGGGAACTGGCAGATGAAGTTGTTAAGCCACTGTCCATCATTTCTGAGAAGTGGTGGCAGTCCAGTGAAGTCCCCACCAACTGGAAAAGGGGAAACATAACGCCCATTTTTAAAAAAGGGGAAAAAGGAAGACCCAGGGAACTACAGGCTGGTCAGTCTCACCTCTGTGCCTGGCAAGATCATGGAGCAGATCCTCCTGGAAGCTATGCTCAGGCACACGGACAAAGAGGAGGTGATTGGTGACAGCCAACATGGCTTCGCTAAGGGTAAATTGTGCCTGACAAATTTGGTGGCCTTCTCTGGTGGGGTTACAGCATTGGTGGATAAGGGAAGAGTGACAGACAGCATTTGACACTGTCCCGCACGACATCCTTCTGTCTAAATTGGAGAGACATGGATTCAATGGATGGACCACTCAGTGGATAAGGAATTGGCTGGATGGTCGCACTCAAAGAGTTGGAGTCAATGGCTCAATGTCCAAGTGGAGATCAGAGATGAGTGGTGTTCTTCAGGGGTCGGTACTGTGACCAGCACTATTTAATATCTTTCTCAGTGACGTGGACAGTAGGATCAAGTGCACTCTCAGCAAGTTTGCCGATGACACCAAGCTGTGTGGTGTGGTCGACACGCTGGAGGGAAGGGATGCCATCCAGAGGGACCTTGACAGGCTTGAGAGGTGGGCTTGTGCAAACCTCATGAAGTTCAACAAGGCCAAGTGCAAGGTCGTGCACATGGGTCAGGGCAATCTCAAGCACAACAACAGGCTGGGCAGAAAATGTATTGAGAGCTGCCCTGAGGAGAAGGGCTTGGGAGTATTGATTGATGAGAAGCTCAACATGAGCCGGCAGTGTGCGCTTGCAGCCGTGCAAGCCAACCGTGTCCTGGGCTGCATCAAAAGAGCTGTGACCAGCAGGTCGAGGGAGGTCATTCTGCTCCATTCTCATGAGACCCCACCTGGAGTACTGAGTCCAGCTCTGGGGGCCCCAGTACAAAAGAGACATGGAGCTGTTGGAGCGAGTTCAGAGGAGGGAAACGAAGCTGATCAGAGGGCGGATGTTCAGCCTGGAAAAAAGAAGGCTCTGGGGAGACCTTATCTCAGCCTTCTAGCACCTAAAGGGGGGCATACAGGAAAGCTGGAGAGGGACTGTTTATCAGGGAGTGTAGTGACAGGACAAGGGGTAACGGGTTTAAGCTGAAGGAGGGTCGATTTAGATTAGATATTAGGAGGACATTCTTCACTGTGAGGGTGGTGAGGCACTGGAACAGGTTGCCCAGAGAAGCTGTGGATGCCCCATCCCTGGAAGTGTTTAAGACCAGGTTGGACGGGGCTTTGGGCAATGTGGTCTAGTGGAGGGTGTCCCTGCCCGCAGCAGGGGGGTTGGAACTAGATGATATTTGAGGTCCCTTCCAACCCAAACCATTCTGTGATTCTATGATTGTCTTTACATTTATAAAACACACCTAAAGCCTTTCAGGGTGACTTCAATTGAAATAACTTTTTTTTGCCAAATTATTTACATATAATATGCTATTGCTGTGCTGTATATTTATAAAATCATATATAACTGGCAGAACATGAAAATACATTTTTAAAAGTGCAGTTTCTCGGAAGGAATAAGCATTTTGGCAAGCAGTTGTGAATTAATTTATTCTGAATAGAATTACAAGTTAGATGAGTATTTTTTCCTTTAAAAGTCATATTTATAACAAGTGTGCAGGCAGACAATAAGAGAACAGCAAGCAGGGATGATGCCTTCATGCTTTTAACAGATATCTGCATTCTGTTTCACAGACCTACATCTCTAGATGCGTGGATGCTGTGATCCAGTGCACAGCTAGACTAGATGTACTCACATGCGCAGATTCCTCATATCTCATTTGTATTTGCAGGTTTTGGTAATAGCGTACTTCCTGCTGTATGTGCCATTTTTACATCCTGCCCTCTCCAAAACTATTGCTCATCCGGCCATTTGAAATAAAGTGAGGCCACATTTGTTTGAAAGTCCTGGTACATCACTTACTCAAGTACGAATGGTAACTATTCAAGTATAACCTAAAAGTACTTAAAATACCAGGCATTCTTTATGGAGTACATAGAGAAGAAAAATGTATCAGAAAAATGCAATTTCTCCCTTTGGGAGAAAGCTTTAAGGGGGGGGGGGGTTGGAGAGGGAGAGTGAAAGAGAGGGAGAGTGTGTGTGTGTGGGCGTTTAGCCATTGGATTTATTTTTCAACACTTGTCAGTTTTACTTTCCTTCAGCATATTTCTGTAACACATAGAAGATGCAAATATATTTAGTCCCAAAGACCTTTACATTTGTTTTAATTCACGTTCGAGACATAGATATTCAATCATTAAATGTGAAATCGACTGGCTTGCTTTTTGTGCGGTTACTCTACCATTTGAAGTCCTTGACCTTGTTTTGCTATCACTGATTGCAGGGAGAAGATGTGTTCTCTTATTGAGAGGAAATACGGTGCTAAAGAAGCCAGTGCTATTGCTCCCTAACTAGCAGCAACAACAGTTGCTTTTGTTTGTGTTCCCCTCCCTTTTAACAAGGCAAAACAAAAGAGTCCAGTACTTGTGTTGATTGATCTCCACCACATATCAGGAACTACAGCATGGGAGATGACAGCCCATCACAAGCTGCTCATCCCTCTGAGCCAGTGTTGAACTAATGCTGTGGCATGAATGTGAGGGTGGTCTATGGGAAATTCTGGCTTTCAGATGAGATCAAAGATCTCTACAAATTACAGAGAGTTTCAGAAAGCTGGAGGGTTCTTAATCCTTTAGATTTGGCATAACTACTTATTTAGCTGTAGTTTTATGTATCGGCACTAGCTCTTACTTTCTATATCAAATGCTGTATGGGGCTCTCTCTCTTTTTCCCTAGAAGTAGCTGAGGTTTGTGTTTTTTAATAAATCATGGCATAATCTGCATTTTGTGATGTTTATATTTGAGTTAGTGCAAACTATTTGAGGGAAAATATACTGATGCTGACTCTCAGGTGCTTCTTCAGTTATAATGGACTCTGCAGGACTCTGTTTTAATGGTTTCAAAGATAGCTAAATGCATTCAAAATTCTAGGAAGTAATTACATCATTCACCATTATTGTTTCAAGTTGAAGAAATAAACGGCCTTTTTTTTCCTATTGCACAATTATAAATAGATTATAATTTCCTACCTGTGTTAAACATAGTCCTACATTTTGCATGGGACATTTTCCAGTTATACCTCATGGAGTAGGTATATGATTGTTGTTGCACGGTTTGTGCAGTTATGGCATGATAGATTTGCTTTGCAAAACTGAAAAAAATTTTTTTTTTAAAATTATTTTCAAAATTACCTGTAGAGAAAATATTTTGAAAGCATTATAATTGCCTAAAGTAACCATGTGTAGGAATCAAGTTGCTTTTAAATTAAGTTCGGTTGCAAGGAAAGGGTATAAGCGTTACAAATAAAAGGGCTGGGGTGCTCTTCTCTCTCATGGACTAACCCCAGCCTAATCTCTTGTTCTTCCCAAGGTGTCCTTGCTTAGTCTGAAAATGTTTTTGAGGTGTAAAATGCTGTTTTCGGTAAAAGCAAGCCGTGCGCCCGTGTTGTCAGCTGCAGTGTTTTCTCTTACCCTAGAGGTGGTGCTGTCTCCAAGGTAGCAGCACTGGCAAGCGGAGGGCGGCCGGGGGAAGCCGAGAGGGGGGAAAAGGAGCGGAGCCGATCTTGTGATCCCGATCTCTGCCCTGGGATAGATCTGAGGTTACTGATGAAGGAACACAAAACAAAGCACACTGGCCTGAAGAAAGTTAAAGAAAGGAAGTGAAATTATGGGAGAAAAAGGCACGCTGGGAGACAGGCTGGAGTCTACCTTGTGAGAGAAGACAGAAGATACATGAGACTCTGAAATAGTGCTTGCTGTAGAGAAGTGCTGCAAAGATAAACACCGTTTCAGTCACCAATCAGTGAATGCACTATAGAGAGAACTCATTTGTCATGCCAGTGATTTCAGGTGTTCAAGAAAAAACAACTGTAGAATAAATATATAGTTATCCTACACAGTTCTAGAGTATGAATGCAGAAAGCACCTAAAAACCCTGCAGGAAATGGACTGAGCTGCAGTTAGGTGTGTAAAGACGGTATAAATCTTCGATCTTGTTCTGGGAGTATCCCAAGTTTGCATGGTCTCTGTAATGCCTGCAAAATATAAGGTACTTAGAAAAAAGACAAGGATCTCTTAGTTGGTCTTCTCTTCTCTTCTCTTCTCCTCTCTTCTCTCTTCTCTCTTCTCTTCCTCTTCCTCTTCTCTTTCTCTTCTTTCTTCTTTTGGAAATCCTAAATTAGATAAATCTGAAAACACATCACAAAAAACGTAACTTTCTTTGTCGATGGTACCTTCACCCTTTTGCAAGGTTTGTTCCAGCTCTGAATAGCATATGTTCATTGCTAATTCATGTAAATTTCTGAATGCAGCACGTGCTGTTCTTCTCTCTGGACTGCTTAAACTGATTCCCCATTCATTTTGACGTTCTGTTCAAATTACCCATGTTTTTTAAAAAAGGGTCTTGCTTGCTCTAGCCTGTCTTGCTAAACTTGTTTCCCTCTGTAATCCTCCCTGCTCCCCCAGTTTGCATAGCACAGGCCGACACCCTTTCCTTTTAGACAGCCTCCTTGGTGTTGTGAGAGCCTTCTCCTTTACACCTCCTGCCGTATGGAAGAGCTTCCTGTGACTGCTGTTTGACTTTCATGCTTGTTTCAGAATTCAGTTGAAAACACTTTACTGTTTTTCCATTACGATTCCTCAAATTTTCACTCTTCCTCTGCTGTTATTGAATTCTTAAGGTTTTATGATTAACATAACTGCATGGAGCATTTTATAATGCTTTGTATCGAACATGCTACACAAAGTGAAGTATTGTAGACTACCTCTGGGCCTTCTCTTGTACGCGTTTAAGGCAATGGTGAAGCTGCTATTAAGTTCAGTGTGTGCAGGCTTGGGCTTCTAGCACGGTTTATATCAATGAAACTCTCTGCATCAGGAGTTTGGTATTTCAGAATAATAAATTGCTGCTGTCCAGGGTGACCTCTCTCTTTCAAGGTGACATTTGCTTGCCTTGGCTCGTTTGTAGCTTTGGTAAGTTAATAAAAAAAAAAAGAGGAGGGCAGAATTTGGCAAAACAGTTATCCTCTTTGTTCCTGATGTGTTTGGAGCAAATAAGTTCCTTCTGCTCACATGCTGACAGGAGGTTAGGAAAATTACAGGAGTAATAGGTGTTCACCTGACAATACAGACAAAAGGTTTTTGATGGTAGTAGAGAATGTTGTCTAAAGTGGAACGGAGTGAGGGAGTACAAGTGGTTCCTCGTGCATTAGCATGTAAGAGGCAGAGACTTTATCTGCCTCTTACAAGTCTTCACAAATAGTATTGTTTCGTCATACTAAATAGTAGGTGGAAAATTTGTTGAGGCTAAGCAAAAAAAATCTTTTTGCTTGTCCTTCCTTTGGACAGTTTGACCTTCTGTGGTCATTAGGATAGGAAATCCAGAGATGCTTTGCTGCAGTTGTTTATTTCCTTTCCTCTATGTCTTGTGGCCTCTACTGGATTGGGTTTTTTTTTTTTTTTTTTTTTTTTCCTTAGTGTTCCATAGCCCTAGTCAGAATACTACTGCAAAAGAACAAGTATTAATGTTCTCTTAAAAACCCCCAAAGTTTGTATGTTTCCATAGTTGCCACAGCTACAGTTATTTGCGCATGATTCAGCAGGTTGTAACTCATGCTAGGGTCTTTCCAAGAGTAATTAACCTATTAGTATGGTGTAGTGACTGTATTTGTGACCATAAATCAGTACTTGAATGTGACCCTTAAGCTATACCCTTTTTAAATGGACAAACAGAAATTCTAAGCAACATTTAGATTAATGAAAATTATGCTGTCCTAAAACATCCTCCAGATTATCCAAATGTGTTCATAGGTACAGTCATCCTATAGCGTACTCCTTGTCTTCCAGAACTGCGTTCCCATTATGATAAGACTTACCATATTTTTACCCTCTAATAGAGTGTCTAATCTTGTTTTAGCAACTCCTGGATTACCATGACCAAATCATTGATTTAGGCAATATCCCATCTGATTTTAAGCTTTGATTTCTCACTGCCTGTTTGGCACATCGTGGATCTCAGATTGCCAGGTCCAATTCACAAGCACTAGTGTTGTCTGTTAGAACTTGCCTATCAGTTTGGTACTGTCCAGAACACAAAGAAAGGACTTTGGTTTAGGTGAGATAATACAATTAAGACAAAACCATAAGGTGGTTGATCCAGGGTTGAAAGAGTTAAATTTTAATATTTTTTTTACATGTGGATCTAAAGGTGCGATTAGATTTCACATGTGATGCAATTCTTAGGCAGTAACAGTACAATCGTGTTAAGCTGCATTAATAACACCCACTTATGGATGATTTATTTATAGATAAAGACATCAACAGATAGAGGAAAGTTGCAGTTGTAAGTAAACAGTACTGAATCCATGGTGGTTACATATGACTGCTCTTACGTGGCTCAGTGAAATTATTTTTCTTTCCTCAACAAAAATACCAGGATGTAAGGTGGGAGGTTTGGCCCAATATCTTAAGTACATAAAAATGTCAAGTACTGAATGTATGCTGTGACTGATGAGTCTGTACAAATGTTCTTTTTATTTACAGGTATCTTGAGCTGGTACTACTATGTGACTATGCCAATGCCAGCATCCACCTTCACTATTGCTGTGGGGTGCTGGCAGGAAGTTAAACAGCAGTCCTTTGCAGCTGCTATCCAGACAAACACTGAGTTTGCCTTGCCATCTTCACAAGCTGATTTCAGGTTCGTGTTGAGAATATTGTTGAAAAATGAGATATATATATATGGGTAGCATTTTCATTTACTCTGTGGAATGTGAAAATGAGTCATATTAGTACAGGAATCAAAATAGAACTTGTTTAATCTGAACAGAAAAATCTTGACAGGAAAATCATTCCAAAGGCGTTATTTCATGGGTAAGGGTGTGGTTCTTTTTATGTGAAAACAAGCTGCTTAGTGAGGAATATAAATCCCAGTGTCCTCTGGAGTTGCATCCTACATCCTGTGTCTCTTAATGCCCTGCTGTAGCAATACTAGGTCCTCCCTTGTTTCTTACAATGCCTGGCTGTAAGATCTTTTATGTTACTAGACTAGGTCCATTCTGAATATCTAATATCCTCTACGAAAGTACTGCCTACTTACTCGCTTTTTTTCTTCCTGTCCAGTCCCGTCCCAGAGTTGGAGCTGGCCTGTGCAGTGGTTTGCTTGGGGTGATGTGTATTGATTGGGTACGTGAAAGACCTGTTGCAGTGGTCCCATAAAGTAAAGTTGGACCACTGATTCTTTTCAATTAAAAAATAACCTGTTGCCTAGTACATGCAGTGGCTACTTAGCTGTCTTTCACCAAACCTGTAGAAATTTAATTATTTTGGATACATCTATTCCTCCTTTCAATCCATCTAAAGTGCTCATTGAGTTTAAATTATTACAGAGTGGTAGATGAACAGAACAATACTATATAGGCCTGCAAATGAGATTTGAAGCTAAAAATTAAGTCTCTGGAGAAATGCCACCTGTTGCAACGTGTATTCACCATAGTTAGCAGACGTCTCAGACATGATGCTTGATTTCCTCACATATTGCTCTCAGCTTTTCAAGTTCATAGGGTCATAGAATCACAGAATAGCCCAGGTTGGAGGGAACCTTGACAGATCATCTAGTCTAGTCTTTCAGGGGAAGGGAAACCTAGCGCCCCTTGCCCCTTGTCTTCTCTATGTGGCTCCTTGTGAAGAGAGAGCCTCTGTGCCCTTTGTAGATGCCCTTTAAATACTGGAATACTGCGATGAGATCCCCCTGAGCTTCCTCTGCTCTCCCTCTCCCTCTCCCTCTCCCTCTCC